ACCTTGAGTTTTGTTTTCCCTTGTTTTGGAGAAGTAGTTCATCCTTGGGGATGAAAGATCAATCACACACTTTTAGACTGAACTTATTCTCCTAAAAGACAAATGGAATCTGATGTTTTTTGGGTCTAAGGTACCATGCACATCCTAACATTATACTTCTTTTTGAAAGGAAAAATGTGGAGGAAGGACAGGTGACAGTGTCCTAGAGTTGGAATAAAGAGCTACTTAGCTTGATGGGTTAGGAGGTGGTTAGGGAAGATTCCTTGTGTTTGATTACGATGGTTGGACTTTCATTCACCTTGAGTTAGTGAGAACTACCTACCAATAGCACACAGGGAAAGTTAGAGTCTTAAAAGGATAGGGATTTAAGATCTCAGCCTGAGTGCCAAGGAGTGTCTATGTGAAGGATCAGGGACTCTGTGGCTTGTGCAGATAGGGAAAACTTAGGCTGTTTGGCAGATTGAGTAATGGTGATGACTGACAGTGGCTGAAGAAAGGACCTTTTAAAATTTTTTGAGTAAGTCTCAGAGCTTCTTCATGTTCCAAGTTCACCCAAAGTCACCTATTAATGTCGTTAGGTGTAAGATTGAAGAGGACATAATTGATTGGCAAATATAAAGAAATAGGCTGTTTCTCAGACGTTGAGTGTCAAGGAGCAATCTATAGCTATTACACCAGCCAAGTGCCAAGAATCTCTGCTACAAGAAATACTTCGTCTCTAGAGTAGGCAAGTTATAATTTTTCATATCCAGCTGTCCCCTTTAATAGCCCAGATAACATGTTAAAAATATAGAATAATGGGACCCATTCCAGATGTACTGAATCAGAATATTGGTGTTAGAACAGGACAGCCATTTCTGTATTTTTCCTTTCCTGTCAGCCCTGTACTGATCTGCTAGTTAAGAACTCTTGCTCTGGTGATAAAACACAAGCCTTAGGTTCAGACAAGTCAGAATTTAAACTGAAGCTCTTCCACGGATGCTGGACAAGTTGCCTAAATTCTATGAGCTACAATTTTTTGGTGTGTTCAATGAGGATGAAAATACCTCCTTCTCTATTGTCTGGGGTGATTAAATGGCATATTCTATTTGGAGTTTTCTTTTGGATCTTGATTTATTAACTCTCAGTGAAGTCTCCTACATCCCTCCACTTCTTCCTTGTTTCTGCTTGATTTCAGGACATCTGTCTATTCAGGTTGCCAAATGCCTGTGGAATTCCTGAGTTGGTCTACTTCTTTGGAGTCTAATCTAAAAGCTCCCTTTATCATAAACCTGTCCTTGGCTTCATCTGAAGTTATTCTTGATTCTGAGTGGCAGGTCAGACTCTGAGAATGACACTTTTGAAATGACTGTGTGTCCTGATCGTCCCTCCACCAGAAGCCAACTTGGAGATAGCATGACTGAAGATGATTAAAAGATTGCCTCTTCTGAGGCCGAACTCTTCCTGACAGCCTTCTATGAAAAAGCCTCTTTTGCATTTTCCAGAAATAAGACTGTAGACAGATTAAGCCATTAATCAGGTTTAGTCAGGAAAGAAATGTCTGTTTTGATTGTGCTAACACCTAGTCCCATGACTGCAGATGGGTTCTTTCAGTGTGCAAAGATAAATGGCTGGTGATTTCTAAAAGGGAAAGAGTTTGGAGTAAGAAGTCTCACACTGGTTTCTTTTCTGCTTTCTTCCTTTCTATTTCTTTACTTCCTTCCTCATTTTTTCCCTCCACCCTCCCTCACTATTTACTTCTTAATTTTTATTATATGGATTATTAAAATTACTGCCCTTAGACTTATTTTGCTTTTCTATCAAATGCTAGTGAAAACTCCTCTCTGGACTATCTCAAGGACTTTTATGATGATTGCATGAGATAAATGATGTGCTATTTGGTAAACTATAAATTCCTGTGTAAGAATAAATATAGTGTTTATTCCTCCTGTTTATGTCTTGGATGGTTCTGGAGTGAGAATGTGTAAGAAGAGAAATGTTCACTGATGTGCCTACAACTGATTGCCTATTTATGCAATCACTCATCAGCAGCATATATGTATTGTGATATAGACTCTGATATATTCCTGCACTTGTATTATTTCATTTAATCTTCACATTGATCCTGGAAGATAGGTATTATTTATTATTTTCTTCAATGAGAATTTTGAAATCCAGAAAAGATGAATGGTTAGAACATGGAGACATTGCTAGGGGCAAGGTTGAAAGACCACATTGGGTCTGTCTAACCACAGATAAGACCAGGCAGTAATCAATCTGAAGAAGTGGATTTCTTTTTTTTTTTTTTTTAGTATTTGGATTTCTTGGCAAGACCCCTTACTGAGCAATAGGATCTTGTGCCTCTCATCACCTCTGCAACTTTCCATTTGGTTAAAATGATATATTTCTTAACCCTTGTCATAAATTGGCAAAGTTTTAAAGACCTAACTTAAATTACTGCTTGATGAGATGGCAAGTTGGGTTCCTCGGTCAGTAACTGCCCATCCACCGACACCAAGGAGAATGCAGAGTCTTGGTGGACAGGATGAGGTACCTGTGAAACTGAGGAAAATAAGAAAGCGAAGAAACTATTTTTGCAGTAGATGATGTAAGGTCTCAGAGTCATTCCTTGTTAATATTTAAAAGGATATGTTCCCAAGGGCTGATGAATCAGGATCTGTGGAGTATTCAGTAAATCCTCCCCAGGGTCGCTGCAGTCTTCAGTCGATCTCCCTATAGTTCAACCACCTGTCATTCGATGTGGGAGTCACTGTTTAGATTTTCCTCCTGCTCTGGGGACCTCTCAGCCCCAGTTTAAATCAGTGGATATAAACACCCAGGAGGAGGTAGCTGGGAAGGGCCTTGCAGCTGTAGTTAACCTCACAGACAGTATTCTCAGAAACTCAGTTGCTACTGTATGCATTTATGACCTATTGATTTAATGACTGAATCTATTAATTAAGAGATAGCCTCTTCATTCTTTTGGGGGAGGATTACTATATTCCTAGTAATCTAGTGCTGAATGACTTGCCAGAGGCCATGCAGGGACATCTTCCCAAGCCAGGCTTTGAACCTGTGTCTTCTGACTCAAATCCACATGGCTGTCACTCCTGCTTTGGGAACAGAATCAGCCCTCATCAAATACACAAAGCCAACTGAGTTGTCTTCGGGTTTTCACTCTTATTGCCTGTGGCTCTCTGAAAGCCAGAGATCCAAGGTGTCCTTGTGAAGTCATTGATATTCCCATGAGTTGAAACAGAAGAATGGCACAGCTGTTGGGCTCAGTTCTGACACAAGCTAGACAGGCTGTGTGGTCTTACACCTTGCCTAAGTGTCCAGCACTATCCCCAGAACGGGCCTGTTAAATGCTGTGCTGTTTCTGTTTTGAAATTCCTAGTAATCTATTGAACAAGAAGCTCCGGATTTTCATTTTCCACTGAGCCCTGAAAATTAGGTAGCTGGTAATGCTTACAAGCTTATGACTACTTACTTTCCTTAACTTCTTTCTACCCCAGTTTTTTCATCTGTAAAAAAAACCAAAAAAACAATACCAATGCACATATCTTAATGTGTTCTTGGACAGAATGAATGAAATACAATAGAAAATGGGCTAACAAGCTTTTCTAAACACAATAAATCTTAACTTCTTTATGGCTAATCCAGGAGGGAAGTGAACTCATTAAAAAACATCTTATTAGGTCAGCACTAAAAAGGTCATACATCTGGAGTGTAGTTGTGCATGAGGAAGATGGTTATTTGGATTTTGCTATTGTGAGGGCAGATAAAATAATTGGAAAAAATGTCACTTTTCATGCTTCAGTTACTGTTGAACAAATATGTAGATTTTATTTATTTATTATTTGTTGCTGGGGATCAAACCCAGAGGTGTTTTACCACTGAGCTAAATCTCTGGCTCTTTTTATTTTTTATTTTGAGACAGGGTCTTGCTAAAGTTGCTTAAGGCCTCACTAATTTTGCTGAGGCTGGCCTTGAACTTGTGATCCTCCTGACTCAGCCTTCTAAATCACAGGGATTATAGGGGTGTTCCACTCTGCCTAGCTCTTCTAATTAAATTATTTCATTTAAGTTTCCTAAAAATCCCATGACATAATTAGTATTAGTATTTTGTAGATGATGAAACTGTGCTCACAGAATAATTGCAGTGTTAGAGAATCCCATAAAATTGATAGACATTAGAATCCACACAACTTGAAAAGGGTCAAGCTAGATGGGTTGATCTAGATTTCCTGGAGAGGTGTGCAGTGAGGGTTTATCTCGGGCTCTTGTTAGGGCTTTTGTTAGGGCTGTGTTGAGACGGATTTTGAGGCTGCCTGGACGGGGTGGTGTGGAGTACCCTGGTCATGCACTATGCCTGTCTCGGGCTCTGGAGAAGTGGAGGTGGTATGTAAGGCACATATTTGCCATCCTGATGTACTGTTCTCATTTTTCAGCACACATTAGTCAATAAGAAGTTAATATAGCTACAAATCATAGGGTCAGCTGTTGACAAAGCTGGCTTTTATTCTTAGTGCAAGGCAACTATGATATGTAAAATACCAACCAACCAACAAATAAGAAGCAAAATAAAACAAAAAGAAAAAATGTTTGTTGACATTTCAGGCATATATGGTAAAAGTATTAGAAGAGTCTTCTTAAGTGCCACAAAATCATGACATAGGTTTCATACTTGAGTATACATCAGCATCTCTGGAAGGCTTTTAAACAGAGGTTGTTGGGACCTACCCACAGGATTTCTGGTTCAGTAGATCTGGGATGGAGCCTGGGCATTTGTAAGTTCCCAGATGAGGCTGATTCTCTGTTTTGTGTCTACCTTTTCAGGGCTGCCACCCATAGAGATCTGCCTATTAGTACATTTTTTTTTTAAAACCATTGATCTGATTCCTCTTACAATGAATTATTCAAATGTGCTCTAAAAAATAAATCTGGAAGACTCAGTCTGCCAGCCCCCTGGGATGTGTTAATAAGATGTTCTGAAAATTGTATCAAGATTTATTTAATTAGTGTTCATTTTGGCAGCACATCTACTAACATTGGAACTTCACAGGGAAGATTAGCATGGTCCCTGTGCAAGAATGACATAGAAATTTTCGAAGCATTCTCTGCCTTTTGGAACACTTGCGTGTTGTTGGTGTGAATGTAAGATGGTGTACTGTTATGGAAAACAGCACGGAATTTCCTCAAAAATATTAAAAATTGAATTGTCAAACGATCCAGCAATCCCACTTTGGGTGAATATACAAAATAATTCAAAACAGGATGTTGAAAAGATATTTGTGTATTATTCACAATAGCCAAGATGTGGAAGCAACTCGAATGTCCATTGCCAGATGAGTGGATAAAGAAATGGGGTATTTATATACAGAGTACTATTATTTAACTCTACAAAAAGAAGGAAATATCTTCACATGCTGCAACACGGATAAAACTTAAGTAAAATAATCCAAATACTGTGTGATTCCCTTCAGATGAGGTGGTCAAACTCAAAGAAACAGAAACCAGAATGGTGGTTTCTGGGGAGGGGCCAGAGAGGGAGAAATGGTAGCTGGAATTCAATAGTCATAGAGTTTCAGTTTTAGAAAATGCATAAGTTCCAGAAACCTGTTATAAAACAATGTGAATACACTGAATTGTGTACTTAAAAATGATGAGGGTGGTAAGTTCTATTTTGCCACAATTAAAGCAACATTTTAAATATTTTCCCTGTATAGCATAGCAATTCTTAGAGGGAGAGATGCCCAGAGAGGGTGGAGAACCACCATCTTGGTGGCCACTCTAGAGGGAGCTGGGAACTTATCCTGACTCCAATGTCCCCCTTCTCTGTGGGTAGCTTTTCCCAGGAAATAAAGTACTTGTTCTGGGACCAATCCAGAGATTCTAATCTGGTCTGTGATGTGACCTGGTTAGGAAGGATTTTTAAAAGTGGCCCAGAAGGTGGCCAGAGCTATAAAGCATGGTGGGATTATTGATGCAACTTGTGAGGTCTTAAAAAGAATCACTGTGAGCACCTTGTCAAATTGTATGTGCCCAAGAGTACATTATTTTCCTCACTGCCCTGGTAATTCTCATTACTGCCATCTCCTCTTTCCCTACTAATTTGAGAAATATAGCATTGGATGACCTCTAAGGCCTTTTTCGGGTAGAATATGTCATGAAGCTTATTTTTAGGAAGCTGAGTTCATCACCAACGAGGTTTGCACGTGACCAGGATTCCTAATGGGATTGGTGAGACAGTCTTAGTTCAGGCTGCATGTGTAGACATAGCTCAACTATCTTTTAAACCCTCAGTTAAAATATAGCATTTGGACTTAAAATCAAACCCTTGACCTATTACAAAGTTCCCTTATTTTGTTTATACATTAAGTTTGATAATTTGTGAACAATTTATAGGATGATTTGAAGGACAAAGGGACAAAATTCCATTATGAGTTAATATTTGTGTGGTGGGATTAGACCTTGCCAAGAATAACTTTTCTTAATTTCCTAAATATCAGTGGTGTTGAAAGGCACATGGAGAATCCTGAGGAATTATAGCCACAGCCTGAGGGTGTGTTCAGTATAAGAGTGCCAAGTGACAACACTACCCCTTATTCAATCATTGAAATTCAGTTTAGATACTTATGAGATCAGAAATTTTGGCAGCACTGAAGATAGGGGACTTGCCAACTTAATGCTGTTTAATATTAATTAAACTTAATATAACTCAGTATTTGTTTTTCAGATATTCCCAGGAAGAAGACCAGAGAAGAAAAACTCTGCATTCACATTAATTATATGTATAGTTAAATTACATAATCATAAATTTATTCATAGTTATACATTCAGATGATGTAATATGTATTATCATATATTCTATATTTATGATTATTTCTAAAATAACTAAATGAGATAATGGATATTGTTATGCTTTGGATATGAGGTGTCCCCAAAAAGCTCCTGTGTTAATGCAGGAACTTTCAGAGGTGAAATGATTCAATTACGAGTGCCATAGCCTAATCAGTCCATCCTAGTTTGAATGGATGGACACGGGGTTGCAACTCTAAGAGGGTGGGGCATGGCTGGAGGGCTTGGGTTCCTGGCAGTATGCCCTTGAAAGTTTCACCTGCCCTTGGCCCTTACCCTTTTCTATCTGTGCTTCATGGCTACCATAAGGTGAGCAGCTTTTCCTGCTGTGTTCTTCTGCCATGATGCTCAGCCTCACCTTAGGCCTAGAGGATGAAGTTGGCTGACCATTGACTGAAGTTGCTCAAGGATCTCAAAATAAACTTTTCCCCTTCTAAATTGTTCGTCTCAGGTATTTTGGTCACAGCAATGAAAAGCTGACTAATGTAGAAATACCAAGCCAGTAATTTCTGTGAAATTAGTTACCTGGGAAAATTCACATGAGAATATAGTGATGTAGGTATTACTTATATATGAACACAAATGCTCACTGTGCTGTGAAGAAAGTTAAAACAGTGCTACATACCATGCAGAACAGCCATTCAGGAGTGGGAACAAGTAAGTTGCCCCAAATTTTTCAAGAAGACATCATGGAGCTGAATATACAGCTGTGTTTGTGCATGTCTAAGGAAAAACAACCCCAGTGGGAAACAGTTACTGAGGTGACACCGTTTTGGAATGGTACCCTCAAATACTGAAAGGGAGCAAATGAGGATAATAATCTTGGTAAATATCTACTGCATCCCAAATTTCATGCTCTGAAATTCTTTACAGACATCAAGTACTATTAGATACAAAATGGGGTAAACATGTACTTCACAAGCCAGGATTATCAATAAACTAACTCAGTGTGGAGTTTTGAAAGTATGCAGATTCTCAAGACTTAGTGCATGATTTATACATAGCATAAGCCCTAAGAAGGAACATGTATCAAATTCATGCAAGACAAATTATTGCTTCTAATCAAGATGGAATAACAAAGATTAGTTAACTCTTCTGCAGAAATTAGACAAAACATACAACACAATGTTTTTGAAACCATTTGAACTTAAGATAACGAAAGACAATAATCCCTGAGAGAAAGGAAACAAATGAAGTGAGCCCTACACTTTCTCCAGCTTACTGCCTTGAGTGAGTCCAAGTAGGTGGCTGTTAGGTAGGACCCAGGTTGAGGCTGAAGAAATGGTCTTGGGAACCTGGGGAAGCCAAGGAGCTAACGTGTATAGGGTAAAGTGCTGAGGAAGAGATAGTCATACAGAGAGATTCTGGAATAACTCCAGAGATTCCTTTCTAGTTTTCAGTTGAGTACCATTCAGTGTGTGCATGTGAGAGAAATGCACAAGGGAAGGAGAAAATGCAGTATCAACTATTGATAAAAACTCTCAGCAAGCTAGGAGATAAGGGAAACCTCCCTCAAACTGATAAAAGGCATGTACAGAAAGTAATAGCTCACATTATGCTTTAATGGTGAAAGAATTATTTCCCCTTAATCAAGACCAAAATAGCAACCCCTGTGCTGTTGCCATTTCTATTCAACATTGTTCTGGTCCTGGCTTGTCCACTTAAATAAGAAAAATAAATTTAAAAGTACCTGCAGTTTTGAAAGGCCTAATTTCTGAGTGAAATAGTCAATGGATTCACAATAAAGCTCTGAGAACTAAAAATTGAATCTATCACAGTCGCAGGATACAAGATGAATATACAAAGCTCCATTGTGTTTATATGGGCAACGAATATTTGAAAATATTATTATTTATAAATATTATTCATAATAGCATAAAACATGTACTACTTAGGAATACATCTAATAAGTGATCAGAAAGACCTACATATTGAAAACTACAAAATATTGCTGAGAGAAATTACCAAAGGCATCAATAAAAGGAAGAAGATGGCCTTGTCTATGGATTGGAAGATGCAATGTTGTTAAAATGTCAGTCACAACCAAGATTATCTAACTATTCATCACCATCCCAATCAAAATTCCAGTAGGCTTTTGTATTTTTGGTGGAAATTGACAAGTTGATTTTAAAATTCTTACGGAAATGCAAAGGATCTAGAATTGCCAAAATCTCTTTGGAAATTAATAAACCCATAAGGCTGACATCCCAGACAGATAGACTTGGCTAGCTCTAAATTATCTACTGAGGCAGGAAATTAGGAATAATTAGAAATTATACTGTTATTGCTTTCCTAGTTAGTGACTAGTTTGATGGGTTTTATAATAGCCTGGACATATGTGAGTCATGGTTTAGTTTTCAGATCATGTACCGGAAGAAAGGAAAGGTAAGGATGGAGTCCTAGAATTGGGGTCTAAAAACTTGAGAGGAAGCCCAGAATTTTTAATGCACACAAATCGAAATCAGCACTTGCCCGCCTGCCCTGTTCATTGGAAGAATTAATATGTACAAACATGATTTAAAAGGAACAAAAATACCATGCAGCTCTGGAGTTATTAGCAGGTACATACACAGCTTTCATAATGCATGTTTGGAGTTGGATAACTTTTCCCATTCAGGAGAAAAAGTGCCCAAAGAGAGAGTTGGTCACACTTGCAGGAGGGTGAAAGCTGGGTGTTGGACCCCAGAGCCTGCCCTTTGGATTATTAAATTAGGGGAGCACATGGAAAAGAAGGAAGTGCAGTCCAGGTGAAGAGCAATTAATGCTATTAGACAAGATTAGTTCAGCCCGTCCTACTAGCTTTGCAGATCTGGTGTATTAGCGGTGAGTGGTGAGGATTTAAATGAGGGGGAAAAAGCAACGGACCATGAAGTAATAAAGTATAGCACTTAAATTAGGATTTTTATAAAGTTAATCACAAATCCACATGGTTTTCAAGCAACACCTCCCCCTCAAAACAGTATGTATTTTTATCTTCTAGAGTTTAGGATAGTAAAACCATTCCTTTCAGTGGGGAATAATTGAAGCCAGAAATTTGTTCTATTTCCCGTATTGCCATGGTTACCTGGAAGCTCAGAACCAATTATGAAACAGTCCTAACAATTCTAAAGTCTGGATTAGATTTATATTTGATTTATTTTTTCCTTTGGTGCTCTTTGTTTCTTTCATTAACTTTCTTATAAACTGCCTTTTCATTTTTGAGAAGATGGAAGAAGAAGAAAATGAATGAATGAATGAATGAATGAATGAATAACATGCACCTGTATG